AGATATATAAATAGATAATGCGAAAGAAACCAACTCAGATCAACATAAAGACATATAAAGATAAACGAAGAGTGAGGGTAGAAGGAAAGTAAATAATAAAAAGGGAGCCATAAATCCATAGATACCTAACAACGTAGGAAACAGTGATGCCAAAGAAAGATGCCTATAAGAAATAATAACATAAGAAATAAGCGTGTCACATAGAGCCATACTCACAGATACCGGTCGACATTTCCCGCACGAGTCGTTTTATCTAAATTCCTTCTTCATGATATTATCTCATGATAAGATATTTTGATACAAACGAGTGAAAGTTAGTAAGGGTACAGTTAATACCCATCGTAGTGTCGGTGCTGAGAGAATATGATATTGGAATGGCGTTTCCCTCCGTGACCCATGACACACAAGGATCGTTGGCAACACTTGGTCATATGTCTAGGAACGGTAATATGCAGAGATTAGATAGGAGGCATGTAGAAGAAATGTTTTGTGAAACTACAGGTGCATGGTGAGGCCGAGAGTAAACCAAGTCCCAGTGATCCCGGAAGCGTCTCAGTCCAGTGACTTTATGGTTTTAAGCCTATTGAAAACATAGCATTAGTAATTCAGATTTAAAGATGAACATATCACTGTTATAATAAAAGTGTTGTCAACCGAGAGGTCAAAATATTACCCCTTTCTTAGTGGACAATTCTGTTCTTTTTTTTTTAGATCTGAGAAAGGCTGAACATCTGGGAATCAACGATAATAAGAAGTATCATAACAAGCGTTCAAGTAATATATAAAACTAAAGAAAATATAATTACATGTAACCTCCGTGAATAAAAACAAAGATGTACAGAAAGAACACAGAAAAAGAACACTACAGAAAGCGCCTTAAAAACGCGATCTGTTAACAGGATCTATGGACACACTTAACTTAAAATGAGAACAAGGATGTTTGTTCTTGCTGCCCTATCGAATTAGCTATCGATCGGTGTCATATGACCATGATTATATTAAATCAGTAAATCTATTCATTTACTTAACCTAGAAAAAAGTCATATATTTCTTCTCCTTTAAAAAAGCTTATTGCTCTACGAATCATTAATATTTGGTGACCTAGTAGAGTTTTCCTCCTGTATTTAAAAAGAATACATTAACTGGTGGAATACTTTAAACCGCATTGAAGGTCCAGGCATGAATCATAACCATTGTAATTTGCATCAGATTTGTTGAAAATTCTAAATTATACCTGTAATATGATCTTGCACAATTATCAGTCTGCAGTAAGTAGTATAGTAACAAGACAAACTTGTGGGACCCAGTTTTCCTGAATAAAAAAATCGAAATAACTTTAGGTATATAAATGTCTCCTTCTTATTCATGAATTGATTAGGAAAAATAGTTCCGCGGCCCAAACCTTGATCTCCTCAGGGATCTGGTTGTTTTAATGTGTTTTCAAGAGAAATGTAATATCTGAAGCACAAGACGAGGCTTGTAATCGAAGGTGATTTAATTTTGCTCTAAGACTTTGGGAGTTCCGATGGTTCATGTGTAGATTAACTTTTTTAAGAGTTAAGAGGTCTCATGTCCTCCTCTCTCTTGCTTTCTGTTGGCCTCTCTGGAATCTTTGGAAACGGTTGTCTATAAGTCCAGCTCCTCCCTGGTAGAGAAAAGTCCGATTGAAGATGCTCTATTCTTGTCAAGAGGAAACAGACCAAATGTCAGCCGAAGTTATGTTAGAAGGCACCTGGATGAGGAGGTTCATTTTGGAGTGGGATTCAATATCATCGACCTCATGGTACTTATGCTGAGCTAGGGGTGTCTATGATATTGTCTTCATGTTGCGAGTGTCAACCAAAGGATGCCCACATTTACCATGTCCATACTTACTTGCGTTGGTTGTGACAAGTAAGGGGTAAAGTGTCACGGTTGGTCAGGAGTAAGATCTTCCACTACTATATAATCAAGAAAATACGCTGTATTCTCTGTCTACCTACAGATTGCTTTCATTTTTAACTGGGTATGTGGCGTGTCTTTGTGTTTTTGTGTGCATATGTGTGTGCGTCTTTGTGTCTGTGTTTGTGTGTGCTTTTGTTTTCATCTTTATCGTAATTACCAATATAATAGTATGTGTTTTATTTATTACGTAGGTACAATTACCTAGCCTCTTATTTTCCATTTGTTTATAAAAGGTTTACATTTCCATTCTAAAACCGAAGAAACTCATTAGGGAGCTAAGTACATTATCCACTCAAGACGTCAGTACTTGTGTTACCCTTGTCTTCCACTCTTTTTCTTTCTTTCTCTCAGGCCTCCAGCATGTTCTCCCTTCCGTGGATCTTGCAGATGTTGGGCGTTGCGATAGAATCCGTCGATAGAATCCTACGTTTCCTCGACGATAACACAGGGACTTTTGACGTCTACCTCTTCCTCAGTTACGTCTTAAAGGGCTTCCTCTTTAACATCCTCGCATCGTGGAGCTACGTCGGGGCAGGACTCGTTATTTTCTACTGCG